AAATATGAGATATTTTGATTCAACTTCCACAACAAATTGATTTACCTCAATAAAAAGCAGAAAAAGATAAAAAACATAAGTCTATAAAGAGATTTTTACTCAGTAGAGAAAAAAAATTATATTACAAGTTAGACTGTGAAGTTGCAGGATACAAGATCAATATACAAAAATGGTGCATTTCTCCACAATAACAATGTGAAACTGAAAATCAAATCAATAAAAAAGCCCATTTACAATTGTAACAAAAATACCTAGGAATAAATTTAACAAAAGTACAAAATTTGTACTCTGAAAATTATAAAACAGGGAAAGATGTTAATGAGAACTATTAAAAAATGGAAAAACATGTCATATTCTGCTGCTCCCCTCAGCAGTGTATTTCAGTAAATCTGCCAGTTCTGTTCCCCACTCTGTCTCTGATTTTATTAAGATGGCAATAGCTACTAGCTTGATCTACAAATTCATCAGTATCACTATCAAAATCATATCTGACTTTTTTTTTTAAGATCTATTTATTCATTTATACAAGCACTGGGTACAGTCAGAAGCGCAGGAGGGTGAGAGAATTCACAAGAGCCAGAGCGGGGAGCAGAGCAGGCAGAAGGACCAAAGTACACTGCTGAGGGGAGCAGCGGGCGGCAGGAGAGGTCTGCACACCATGCAGGACCCTACTCCAGTGGCCGGGGAGCAGCAGGGGATTGAACCGGCGCTGCAGAGGCTGCGGGCAGCTTCGCAACCCAGCGCTCAACCGCTGTGCCACCAGGGAGGCCCCATATCTGACTTTTTTGCAAAAATTCACAAGTAGATGTTAAAATTAATATGGAAATGCAAGGGACCTAAAACAAAGCAATCTTGGAAAAGAAGAACAATGTTGAAAATTTCATTTCTTTCCAATTTCAAAATGTATTACAAAGTCATAGCAAACAAAACAGTGTGGTATAAGGTTAATGTACAGCTCAATGTAATAGAATGAAGAGCCCAGAAATAAACCCTCACATTTATAGTCAACTGAGTTTCAACAAGAATAGCAAGACAATTCAAAAAGGAAAAAACAGTCTTTCTGATAAATTTTGCTGGCACATCTGGATCTCCAATGTTGTGGAACAATGAAGCAGAGCTCCTACCTCACACAAACAAAAATTTTAAAAACTAATCATCTGATAGATCAGAGCACCTCATATTTTTACTAACCTTATATGTATCCTTTATTTAAGTCTTGTTTTGGGAGAAGTTTTAAACAAGTTGAATAAATAAAAGATCACATACAATTTCTGAAACTATATCTTACAAACTAAAATCCACTGGAAAGTCTGTATTTCTCTCAAATATTTAAAATTTAATATACTTTATATTAAAAATATATAGGTATATTATAGAATCATATGCAAATTTTTCATGATTTTTAAAATAAAACCCAGAAACTTTAAGGAAATTCCATATGGCATACGATCCACTTTGGACTATACTCCCAGATTCTAAGGGTGCCCTTGCTGCTTCTCTAGGCATGCCTACCCCATCAGTCTATGACAAAATGCTAGGCAGCCTGCCTGAGGCCTTAAAGTAAATTTAGTTAAAGAAATAATATTTACTAGATGTGCGATCTTTGTCTTAGATACAGTGCTTTTGAATTTTGGGCTGTTTTTTTTTTTTTCTCGTTAATTCCTCAAAAACATTTGTGATAACTTTACTCAGGGACTAAGTATCAGAATGACTGGGGTTATCACATCTACTCTGACACAATTATATAAATCTAGGTAACTTTCTTCAATACTAAAATAGAAAAGTACAGTAAGATGGAACTTAAAAGTCTTTTCTAGTTTCCAAATTCTACACTCTCGGGACTCCCTGGTGGCGCATGGGATTGGGATGCAACCTATGAAGCTGTTCGCAGCCACTGCAGCACGAGTTCGATCCCCAACTGGCCAGGGAGCTACCCAGATGGTGCAGCAGACCTCTCCTGACTCGCCCACTGCTCCCCTCAGCAGTGTATTTCAGTACATCTGCCTATTCTGTTCCCCACTCTGTCTCTGGTGAATCCTCTCACCCCACACCTCTAGCCCGTACCCCAGTTCTTGTATGCATGAATAAATAAATCTTTAAAAAAAAACAAATTGTACACCCTCATAATATTTGTCAATATTAAAGATATGCCCTTTAAATTTTAAAGTAATTTTTAAAAAACCAAGTTGTCAATGCATCTTTTATATATTTTCCCTCTGAGAGCCCCCTCTTGCATCATCCTAGCTCAAAGGCCCTGCTCTCTTCCCTGAATTTTCATAGCAGCCCTCAGTTCTGATATTCAATCCCTCCTTAACCCATTATATTGACAACATTGCTGTTAGATGGTTCTCTAATCATCATTTCCTTCTATGGCTCTTAACCTAGCAAACATTCCTTCACCCTAGGATCATATCCCAATTTACCTTTCTAACTTTTTTTAGCCCTCCCTTACGTTAACTTACATTTCATACCTACTTCTATAATATTATATACATCAATTCTTCAAATTTATGTCACCTGCCCTACTTGAAATACTCTGTCATACGGTTAAGGGCAACACCAATATGAAATGGGTTGGCCTGAGTGTGGGTCCTCACCCAGGCACTTAAAGGGACTTAAAATGAGACTCAACTGCAGGCACACACACAAAAGGTTAATAAAGGGTTTATTTACAAAAAGGGAAACAAACTACCATGAGATACCATCTTACACCAGTGAGAATGGCACATATTAAAAAAACTAGCAACAACAAATGTTGGCGAGGGTGTGGAGAAAAAGGAACTCTTCTGCACTGTTGGTGGGAGTGCAAACTGGTCCAACCACTGTGGAGAGCTGTGTGGAGATTTCTGGACCTACTAAATATAGAGCTTCCATATGATCCAGCAATTCCACTCCTAGGTATTTACCCAAAGGACACAGAAACATCCATTCCAAAGAACACCTGCACCCCTATGTTTATAGCAGCACTGTTTACAATAGCTAAGCTTTGGAAACAACCCAAATGCCCAAAAATAGATGACTGGATCAAGAAGATGTGGTACATATATACCATGGAATATTACTCAGCATTCAAAAAAGATAAACACATGCAATTTGCAGCAACATGGATGGCACTGGAAGGGATCATGCTCAGCGAAATAAGCCAAAAAGAAAAAGAAAAATACCGGATGGTCTCACTCATAGCAGGAATCTAGAAAACTTAAATAAGGGACCAGGAAAACGAATAACTATAAGAAAGTGAAAATCAAAATCAACAAAAAACTACGAACCAGAGACACTTTTAGAGGGGCGGGGGTGGGAGGGGAGGGATTGGGGTCAGAATGGGGGGGCTGCAATTGTATGGGGAATATAAAAATAAAATTTATTATTAAAAAAAAAAAAAAAAAGGGAAACAAAGAGAGGAATAACCCATAGAGAAAGAGAGCAAGATATATTGGTGAATGTGTCCTGCCAGTTCCGCTGACCTGAGACCCCAATAGCATCCTGAAGGCCGGCAAAAAACCAACAATCCCCCAAGGCCCACATGTCTCTGGTTATAAACCAAGCCTGGCTGCTTAACTCCACCCTTAGTTCCCAGCAATCCTCCATTCTTCGGTGGTGATGGCATTATGGGATTTGCAGCCCTTGGTGCCTTGGATCGCTTTGGTCTGCGGTGGGGTAGAGTCCATAAAACCTGTTTGTGGAGTTTGTTCAGGACTCCTTTCCCCCCAACAATAGTCCCCCACTTTCATTCCTTTCCTTAAGAATGAGTACACGTGTCACCTCCACCACAAAGCCTATTCTGAAAACCTTCCTAAAAATTCTGGGGCACTTAGCCTGTAACACAGCTTTGGCAGATAGCATACGCTGCCCTGCACTGGGCAGGCTGAACACAGGAGAGGTCTGTAGAGATCCTGATGCCTCAATTTCTTCCCCCCTCAGCAGAATGCAGGGTAAGTATGTAACACATGGCATCTAAAGGGGCTACAGTGTAACTACAAAATTTTTAAAAATCAACTAAAGCAACAGTTTAGGTCTAATTATTAGAAATTTTGCAACAAACTCATCCTACTCTTGCCAACCATATTTTTACAGCTGTGTTCTAAAACTTAATACTTTAGGTGTGGGTTAATACTTCCTGTCTAATCTCTCCTTCCAAAAAAAAAAGAAAAAAATGGAGGAGGTAAGATTTCAAAGCAAGTCATCAAAACTTTTAATTACAAAACTTTAATGACACCAAAAAATTCCAAAAAAACCCCCACAAACCTAACAATATAGTTTTAAACAACAACAAAACTTCTTACAATACAGGCATCATAGCCAAACTGAATCTGAGAAGGGAAAGAAACAGACACATTTGGTCTGGTCAGAACTTTTAAACAAAGTGGCACATGTTTTTCTCTACCAGCCATGCAAAGCACATAATTTTTATATAAACCGCATGTGTTCTGACAAGTTCCACCTCCCATTCCCTGCTTTAAATCTAGAAACATTTTACTCCAACTACAAAGTTTTTGGTCTTGCTTAATAAAGAACACTTAATCTGGTCTTTACCCTACTGATAATAATACTGAGATAATATGGATACAAGTCCAAATTTGCCACTTTCACTTCTATAGAAAAAAAGCCTCTTGAAGAGCCAAGAAACATTCCCCGAACAAGCCCTGTGATGAAGTGTTAGTAAACATTAGAAAATTGATTGCAGGCCTGAAATATTAGGTTTAAGCAGAGAAAATGTTTTCAACATGTCTCTTTAAGCTGAAGTAAAGCTATTTTAACCAATGTGCTAGAGACTTTCATTAATTCAAAAAATTCTGAAAGCAAAACTGCAATGAAAAAAAAATCTCTTATTTAAACTATTTTGGCACACAAGGAGTTGTACTTATTTCACGGGACAGAGAAGAAAGGGGTGGAAAACAATCCACATGCTTGGCAAATTTATCTGTTAAGCATTTGTCAAAAGCTAATTTTATTTTTCTTTCAACAAATAAAGATCATCCAAATGAGCTTGTGGTACTCACATGCAGAGCCGAGGGGTCTGGCAGGAATTCAGCATCTTCTCCAAAGATAAAATCAGGGGGCAGCTCTGGGTATTGGGCATTGAAAATGATATCCCCTGAAATAAACGAGAATGTCAATCCCTTTTTATTTCCTTACTAATGTATGAATGTTCTGAGGCATGCATCAGGAAAACTTCTAAAAGAAGTTCATATTAGTTTAACAAAACATTTGAAAAGCACTCTCTGAAGGATTAATTCCTCAAAAAAAGAACTGATATCCTCTTTTAAATTATCACCCATAACATGCAATCCAAAAAAAGTTTTATCTCTTAACACACAATAAATATAAATACACAAAGAGAAAAGTAAATGCAGGCATATCCAGAGTATATGTGATTTTTCATTTAACAGGAGTTCCTACTGTGCAATCACTGCCTGCTGCTATAAGAAGTCTTTACTGAGGACTGAATCTGTAAAAACAAGGTCCTTACCTTAAACAAATTTAACATACAAATATTTGGTATAATGGAGAGAACATCTGGCTTATAGTAAAAAAAAATTCAGGCTTATATGACAGGCTTATATTATTTATTAGTTCAAGTGATCTTGCACAAGTTTTAAGACTTTCTTAAGATTTCAGTTTCTTCATCAGTTAAAGGGGGTTATAATAGCGCTGGAATCACAGATTTGTTGTGAGGATAAAAGAGACAGTATGTCTAGCACAGTGTCTGGCATATAGTAAGCACTCAATAATATAGAGTAGTACAGGAGGACTACTGCTATTATTAGTAATATTTTGAAACAAGACAAATTACAAAGTCGCTTTAGTAAATTTGTGTTGTAAGTTCTTCTAGCTCTGTTCTTTTTCTGTCTCCTCCTTTAGCCCCCTTTAATTCCCTCTGTTCATCTCAAGAACCAATACTCATCATTCTGCTAATAACAATAAGGTGACCTGCATATCAACAATCTAACACACATATTGGGTTCTAGTGTATAAAAGTGTATAAATACACACAAACTTGTATAAATACACACAATCCTGCACCCATTTACAAAGATACAGACATAGCAGTTCAATAATTTTACTGCTCAAAGAATAATATATTCAAATTAAAACATTCAGACCAGTTCTCATTTGAGACTTTCTATCTCTATGTACCATGCATTTCAACATCAAATTCACCAAGTCTAAAACCATGCTCATGACTCCCTTTCTCAATCCCCCTCTTCTCTGAGAGATTTCCCTATTTCTAGGAATGTCACTGCTTTTCCTTAATCACCAAAGATGACCTTAGGGTCACCTTTGACCTTACCCACACCCTTGTTACTCTTAGAAAACAAGTCATTTTAGCTTTTCCTGCAAAATGTCTCTTATATGGGTATTTTCGATTATAACAGCTCCATCCAGCCAGGGTGACCTAGCCTATACATTCATACATACATTGAACACATATTTGAACCCTGCTCTAAGGACTAGACTAGGCACTGGAGATCAACCGAAGAACTTTGCTTTCATGTGGGTGTAGCGTACAAGGCTCTTTTCAAGTCAGACAAAAGCAGGATGCTTGATCGTCCTGAGGCAATAGGTACATATCACAAGGTATGACCGGGAATGGGAGAGGGGGGGTGGATGTTGACTGATGAACCTTGTGCCTCCCAAGGACTGATCACTGGGATGCCTTGTTAATAAGACTGGAGCCATGGGTGGGGGTCAGAAGTATATCAGAGGACTCACCCTCCCTAAAGCCCTAAATCCAGTTTTCAATTTGACCCATCCTTTTCTCTATCAATAAAAAGGCCAGGATCTGGCTCTTGGGCAGCATCCTACATTATACAGGTTGCTTCACGCCTCCCTCTCTTTTTTTTTTTTTTTTTTTCTTTTTATTTTCTTTTTTCTTTTATATATTTTTACACCATTTTTTTCATTTTTGCACAATGTATGCATTTTCATCTTGGTTATAGTCCCTGTAAAATTCCCACCCCCCCTTGTTTTGATCCTAATCCCTTCTCCCCCCTGTAGTGTGTCTCTGGTTTATAGTTGCTTTGTTGATTGTGATTTTTACTTTATTATAATTAGTCTTTTTCCTGGTCCCTTATTTAGGTTTTTTAAATTCCTGCTATGAGTAAGATCATTCGGTATTTTTCTTTTTCTTTCTGGCTTATTTCACTGAGCATGATCCCTTCTAGCTCTGTCCATCTTGGTGCAAATTGCATGAGTCTAACTTTTTTGATCATTGAGTAATCAGTGAGATAATGCTGACTCAACACTTTCCAAAAATTGAGTTACTATCATATACTCTTAAATGGTCTCCTGAATTTTCCTCCACCCCTTACAGTACATATTGTCACCAATCTTAAAATACTGCTTTGTCCAAAACTTCCTAACGTGAAATATTTCAATAATTCTCTAATTATTGATCTCTAATGTCAAGTGGAAGAAAAGTAAACTTTTTGAACTGGCATTTATGGTCTCCAAAACATTACATTCTTATTAATTTACCTACCTTTCTCTTTATATACAAGCTAATATCAACCTACTCAAGTTATATTCTAGAACATATTCCAGATCATGCTCTGATATGATCTGCTTGCTGACCTCCAAATATTATCTACCTAGTTGAAATGTTCTTCTGCCTTGCTCAGTTCTTAACCATCCTTGACCACTTAGCACACTTAATTATCTTCTCTTGCATGAAGCTTTCCCTAGTCAATCCAGTAGACACTGAGAAAATCTACAGTGAAGAATAAAGTATAGAAGACTTAGTTCTGCACTATCTGTAGGGAATAAATTTGAACAAGAAAACACAGCAAGAGAAGTTATGTGTAGAATTAAATTATCAAGAGTAGTACAACCACTACCTATTCCTTGAATCTTCCCATTACTATCTCTAGGTTTGAACTAAATGTATTATTAATTATAAACTTTCTTCAAACATGCTTTACAAACCATTAACCCAAGCCAAGACTAAAAAAGCTGAAGCATTGTTTGAGGGCCTGCTTTTGTAAAATCTTGTTTCACTTAAAAAGGCAGTTTCCAAGAATCTATCCACAATGTTAAGTGAGGACTTAGTGTTATTTCCAAACCACTAAAGATTGAAAATCTGATCCAAGGATATTTACTCTTGCCAATTCTATTTAACATTGTCCTGGAGGCGCCTGTAGCCAGGACAATCGGAAAAGAAAAAGAGATTAATAGCATCTAGATTGGAAATAAAAAGTAAAATTATCTGTATTCATAAATAACATGATCTTACATAGAGAAAAACCTAAGGAATCCACACATATACACATGCAAACAAACCAACCTATGAGAACTAATAAATAAGTTCAGTAAGGTTGCAAGGTACAAGATGTACGAAATCAACTGTATTTCTATACTAGACTACCAATGAATAACACAAAAATGAAACTGAAAACATTTCCATGTACAGCAGCCATCAAAATTAATACACAGGAATAAATTTAAAGAAGAAAGCATAAGACTTGCACTCTGAAAACCACAAAAGATTGTCTCAAGACATAAATGGCATAAATCAGGTTTGTGGATTTTAAGACTTAATACTGTTAAGATGGTAATACCACCTAAATTAATCTACAGATATTAAATAATCCCTGTTAAAATTCCTGCAGTAGCCTAAAGTCATTAGAAATGCAAGGGATTCAGAATAGCCAAAAAGCAATCTTAAAAAAGAGCAAAGCAGATGACATGATATTATACATAGAGAACCCCAAAAACTCCACAGAGAAACTAATCAAAATAATCAACCAGTTTAGTAAAGCAGAAGGATACAAAATCAGCACACAAAGATCAGTAACCTCTCTATACAATCAATATGAAGAACAAGAAATCAAGAAAACCATCCCTTTTATAACTGAAACAAACAAACAAAAAAATACCTGGGAATAAACCTAGCAAAAGAGGTGAAGGACATATACAAAGAAAATTACAACACGTTCTTACAAGAAATAGAAAATACAGCAAAAGAGACATTAGCAAAAACAAAGAGACACCCTATTGATTAGAAAAAAATTTTGCACACAATACTACTGATAAGGGACTGATCACAAGGATCTACAAAGAGCTCACACAACTCAACAAAAACAAAGTAAACAATCCAGTCAAAAAATGGGCAGAAGAGCTAAAAAGACACTTCTCCAAAGAGGAAATGCAAATGGCCAAAAGGTATATGAAAAAATGTTCAACATCACCAAAACTACAATGAGATACCAACCTACACCAGCAAGAATGGCACATATTAAAAAAAAAAAAAAAAAACACAACAACAAATGTTGGCAAGGATGTGGAGAAAAAAGAACTCACCTACACTGCTGGTGGAAATGTAAAATGGTCCAACAACTATGGAAAGTTGTGTGGAGGTTCCTCAAACTACTAAAAATGGAGCTTTGATATGACCCAGCAATTCCACTCCTAGGAATCTACCCAAAGGACACAAAAACATTCATCCAAAAGGATATCTGCACCCCTATGTTACTGCAGCATTATTTACAATAGACAAGATATGGAAACAACCCAAATATCCAAAAATAGATGATTGGATCAAAAAGATGTGGTATATATACACAATGGAATACTATTCAGCAATCAAAAAAGATAAACTCATGCCATTCACAGCAACATGGATGGAGCTGGAGGGATTATGTTCAGTGAAATAAGCCAGACAGGAAAAAAAAATATCAGATGGTTTCACTTAAATAAGGGACCAGAAAAAAAATAATTAAGATATATTAAAAAACAAAACTAATAGGTAACTATTAATCAGAGACATTCTGCAAGGGATGGGGAGAGAGAGGGATCAAAACAGGGGAAGTAATGTGTTCTTACACAAGGGACTATGATGATGGTGCATGGGTGAATTGGTGGTGGGAATTTTGCGGGGACTACACCTGAGAGGAGAAGGCATGCATTGTACAAAAAGGCAGAATGATGTAAAATACATATATATAATAAAATTAAATTAAAAAAAAAAAAGAAAATGGGGGCCTCTCTGGTAGCGCAAGGGGTTAAGCACTGCACTATGAAGCAATCCGCAGCCTCTGCAGCACGAGTTCAATCCCTGGCCGGCCAAGGAGCAACCCAAATGGTGCAGCAGACCTC